CTTGGTGGGGAAGTAGCTCTTAGTCTTGAACTGTTTGAGGAAGGAGGAGAGGAAGAAGGTGGTGAAGAAGAGGATGATGGACCAGAAGAGGACGTCGGGGACGTAGGGGCCGCTGTGGCTGCACGCCGGGCCGACCAGCTCCCCCATGAGTGCCTTGCACGTCTGTGGGGAGAGGGACGCGTCAGTCGCAGTTCCTCTGATGACCAGCAGAGGCTGCTGCTCGTTTGTTCTGACTGAAAGGCGTCGCCGACGTCGTCAGACAGCAAACGTTTATTTCTTACCTTCGAGCTCAGCTGATCCCAGGTGATGTTTTCTGGGGTCACGTTCTTTTTGCTCCACACACCCAGGACTTCGGCCGAGGCGTTGGCGGGCGGAGCGCACTGACATCTGAAACAGAGCGGCGCTCACGTAAACTCGGAGCTAAATGACCACGTCACCCTCTTAGCTCCAACCATCTGAAACGACCACGGTGACGCCGGACAGTCGCCTCACCTGTAGAAGGTCAGGTTGTCCAGCTGGTTGTGCATGTTGATGGGGTAGAGCTCGCCGAGGCGGACCAGCTTCTCCAGCGCCTCGTAGATGAAGATGATGCAGATGAGCGCGGCGAAGGCTTCCTCTGTGAAGCGGGTGATGTAGCAGACCAGAGAGCTGGCGTCCGTGGCGACCAGCAGCAGGCACAGGAAGGCGGTCCAGAGTCCGATGCTGGTCCTCAGGTGCAGGTAGGACAGATGGTACTGACTGAGGACGGGAAAAGGAGGTCAAAGGTCAGCCGAGGGCACTTCTGTAGGGTCGCTCTCTCTAACCCAGCAGACATCCCTGAAGTTTGAACTCTCCTGACCTCTACGTGACCTACTACATGGATGATGTAATCCAGATGAAAGTGGAGCAGGTTAAAATGAGGCTTTTATGCAACTGTTACAAAACATTTTCGTGCATCACAGAAAGATTTTTTTTAATCCACCAAAAAATTATAAAACAATATGAAACAGCTGAGAGCACAAAAGCACAGCTGCTCCAAAAACCCCTCGAATCACGTTAATCTGTGACGCTGAGATTAAGCCTGAGACGCGCCGCCAGCTCGCGGCCCCGTGCACCGCACTGGCTGCGCCTGCAGGGGGAGCTGCAGCGCTGCAAACACAGAGGAGACGAACACAAAGGCACAAGGACGGAAATAAAACCTTAAAAACAAACAAACGTAATTTTTCTCTCTGCTCAGCAGCCCGCTGTGATGTCATCACAACCTGAACAGCCAATGGGAGCAAAGCTTTCATGCAAACCTGTCTCACCTGCAGAACTTGAAGAGGATCTTCTCAAAGACCAGAACCGGGCCCGTGCTGCCCAGGATGGTGAGAGGCTGCCCGGCGAACAGCGAGTAGGCCACGCCCGTCAGAGACGCGCCAAACAGCGACTCGATGGCACTCTATCAGAGAGAGAGAGAGAGGGGGGTAACACCCGGATGCACCAATCAGGGCCCAGGATGAGCTCACACAGGGGTTCTTACTATGCTCCCTTTGGTGGCCTCCCCGAGCAGACCTCCGAAGGTGATGACGGGCGACATGCAGGCGCAGTACAGGAAGAGGATGGAGGCCAGGCACTGCAGGTTCACGGCGTCTCTGATGTCGCTCCAGTAGAACGGCGCCTTCCGCCTAACGTCGTTCACCAAACCGCCAAAAATCCTGTCGGACACACGAGGGATTCCCCGTCACTCCCAACACACACCGAGCCAGGACTCGTTTAACACGTTTCCTGTTTTATTTTGAAAATCTCCTCGCAGTATTTATTGATATTGCTGAGCTTCACTCACCTCCCCGTCCTCTGCAGCTCTGGTCCCGCGTGATGCTCCGCCTCCTTGCCCATCTCAGAGCTGTGGGCGGAGCCATTGGGGAAGGACGCTATCTTTCTCTTCTCCTGCGGACACAGACGGGGGCGGGGACGTCACTTCTGAGAGATCAGAGCTGGCGTGGCGGGTTCGGGTTCGGATCTTTTACCTGAGACGGGACGCTCTTCGGGGGCTCGATGCGGATGCTGGGGTCCCATTCTCCCGGCGGCAGCACGGTGACCTGATCCAGGAACTCGTCGATCCCCGACAGCAGGTCGTTGCGGTCCCTCGCCTTGTACGCCACGTCGTGGAAAACCTGCAGCAGAGCCGCCACACGTCAACAACTTTGTGTCTGCGCTTCAAACGACATCACGCCTCCTGAAGCTTTTTCACGAGCACGCCGTCACACTGACGCGTCTGTGTCCGCTTCTACAGACATGAACTCCGTCACTAAGCGCAGCGTCGCTCACCTCGTCTGTCATCAGCGTGGCGATGGAGCGCCCGATCTCGTGGTACTGTGGACCTTTTCCAAACGGACCGAGCAGCAGGAAGAGAAACCTGCAGGGACGGGAAGTCTGTCAGCAGAGGAAACGCACGGAGCGGCGTGCCGAGGGCGGCTCGGTCGCGGCTTACCTGGTGGGCACCGGGACTTCGGTGAGGCCGGTCAGCAGCACGGCGGGGCAGAGCCGGACGAAGGCGATGATGGGCCGCTCCAGGAAGTCCACTTCACCCACCAGGACGTTGGAGGCCTCGGCTCCGTGAGGAATCTTCTTCATGAAGTTCATGTCCACCTGACACACACACACACACACACACACTTTGTGTTCGTTTTATTTTGTAGTTCCTCGTTGGTTTCACTTCCTGGTCTCTCTCTGTGATCCTCGCTGCCTGAGCACGGCTGAGAACAACAGCAGCTCATCAGCTGCAGACAGAAAGCAGCTTTATCTTCATCACACGTGAGAAACATTAAAGAGGACCGCGTCTGCGAGCACGCCATCGGCTCCTCTCTCACTGACCTTGGTGGGGAAGTAGCTC